AATGGATGGATGGATGGATGGATGGATGAATGGAGTCCATTCACGCCATGCCTTTTCCATTAAGACACTGATTTCCAAGTGAGCGCAACTGACACTTGCTCTGACCATCCCCGTGACTGGAACTGCGAGCAGCTACTCCTACGGTGTGTGATGTCCTGAATTTTTTCAACCATTATTATCCAGAGAAGACAATTAAAAACAGATTCATATTTGTAGTGCTAACCAGGATGCAGACAGCAGAGTAAAGGCACCTGCAGACTGTGCATTGCGGCCTAACCCAACTTGGACTGTACCATTACAAAAAAAAAAATAACAGGAGGCGACTCACACCCACGCATTTTATGATTCCATCTTTGGACATCCTGCGAAGTTAAATGGCGAACCTCTATAGGCTTTTGAGGCTGCACTAAATGTACTTTATCTTTTTTGTAAATCATAAAAAATGGTGTAAAAGCGGTTAAGTAGAGAGAGAGTATGTAGGTGGGAACATAGAAGAGTGAGAATATGGTGGTCTTCATTCACAAATAAATGTGAACAAATGTGCGCACAAGTTGAGTGTATATGCAAATTCACAGTTAGATTCATTGGCCTATTTTCTTCACACCACCATGCGTATGTTCATTAATTTAGTGAATTAAGTGACGGCTCGTGCATAAGTTTGAGTTTACATAAGCCCTGCCGCATTTCCCTATAATCCGTTTGGCGACATCTCAGCCCATGCCAAAGCTTTATAACCCACTCGAGATGGCCCCACAACATTCATAACTTAATCTTTATCCGATTTTCAAAAGGTTCATACCTTCAGTATGCTTGCTGAACACAGAAAGTGACGAAATATCATGATGCTGTCAGTCATTTTTAATTCATTCCAAAATTAAAGAGTGCTGCATACAAAACATGCATGAAAAAATAATTTAAGAGCAGAGAATATGGACAAATTTAAGCACAAAGAAAATTATGAATCCCAAATTTATGTGGTAAACGTGCATGTGCACATTAATTAACCTGTTCTTTAAGAGCGAAAGGGACATAGACTCCCTGATTCACACAACCAGGATCTACAGCAGCGACATCGGGATGTCATTCGGGCTTGAGAAATGTAGTCGGAGGTGACTAAGAGAGGAAAGGTAGTCCGCACTGAAGGGGTCTCACTGAAGGAACAATAGCAGACATTGAGGACAGCTACAAGTACCTCGGTATACCACAAG